CTTCTGTAACTAACTTGTTAATTAAAACAAAAGCATTTTTAGAAATGCATGGATTCAGATGACTTCTAGGGCATTGTTGCCTAGAGAGTCACTAGAGGATGTGCTCCTGCAAAATGAGGAGGAAACCAAAAAAAGAGAACATACCAGCCATAGACACTAATTTAGGAAGAACTCAGAGATGGAAAGCAACCAGACCAGATTGGAGCAGGGGTTCAGAAATGATGTCTCCAGTGGGGGAAAAAAAATGGAACTAATGTATTTGGGCACATGGAATATTTATTGATGGGCATTAAATAGAGATACTGCAACATGTGGGATAAATTAGTGATGGGTTCATACACAACCAGGAAGATGAAAAAAAATTGAGGTAATAGTTAACTCTAGGAAAAATAAAGTGTCATATAAAAAAGAAGGCATGGTCATAGTACATTATTCGACCCAGAATTGAGCAATATTTGCAAAATTATGGTAACACAAACACTGACTTTTGATTTACCTTAAATTATAAAATAACCATTTGGAGCACAAAGAAAAAGGAAATAAGAAATGTATGTGGGAGCACTAAACCTTTATTTCCCATGGTAGAAGATTAAGATGCTTAAAATTGATAAGTAAAATAAGAGTAGCATAAGCACACCTTGCCAGTAATTTGTGGGCATTAGTGTTGTGATAGCAATTTTACAAAAGATGCAGAAGTAGTTTTTGCAGGACTGTTCCTTACGTACCCTGATTGGTGAAAGGCAAGGGCTCAGTCCCGTGGATGTCAGGAACAGAGGCAAACTGTCCCCAGTCACTGTTTTGAGGTGCTTCAGATGTAGTCTCAAGCACCTTTCAGACAAGGAAATCAAATTCCTTTCTTCATTTACAATCATGTATAAAGAGCAAAATATTTTCTTTCAAACTTCTTTTCTCCCAGATTGCTTCCACAGGGTGAAAACAGGAGAGAAGAAGAGCAAACTGACATTCCGAATACAGACTTTCTCACTGGACCAATTTATGAATTCCTAATTATTTCCCTGCATAGAGGATCTTTCAAAATTATCAGATGACAAATGCATTTCTTAGTAAACTCTACGTTCTGTTGTCCTACTTTTTGGAGGCTAAAGAAAGGTTGTGTAGAATGTCTGTTTCTTCAGTTGATTTGCAACCACTGGAGAAATTATAGGGAACAAAGGAAAAAAGAGCCATAAACACAAATGAATTCCTTTTATACAAGTTGAAAAACCACAGGACATGCTCCATTTTTTAACACTCCAGGTGTGATCGGAGATTACGTATCCACCACAGGAGAGTGGAGAGTTAATTAAAATTTTTGCTCCTACTCAGAGAAAGAAATGTCATTTTGTTTGATAAGCAGGCTGGCTTTTGAGTGCCGTTGGTGCTTTCTTCTCTCCTCACTGGAGTGCCGCAAAAAAGCAGATCAAAGAGAGCCTTCCATCCGGTTATGTTTCCTACCACCTTTCTTAGCTAATGGACTTAAAAGCGTCTTTCACTGACAGGCTCATCTCGTATTTTAGAAATGCCATCTCCTTACTATATTGATAATACACAAACGGGTTTGATAGATGCTTACGGAAAACCACATTTAACATTAATTAAGCCAAGACCATCCCAAATAGTTGGAGTGGGACAGTCTGGCAGAGTGCAACATCTCACTGCTACCTTTTGTATTTTACTTGTCAACTCACCATGTGATGGCCAGAAATTAACACGTGAGATTGAACCCTCAGCTCTCTCAAGCAGGGTGAGAGAGAGCTGAGGGTTCAGGCTCATGTGTTTTCCCTTTTGCTTTTGGTCTTTATGATTCTGCACCCTCTGGCTGACACCTCCTACCCTGGGGGGAAAAAATGTTTGGGAGAAATCCTGCTGTTTTTTTCGTTAAGAGTGACAAAATGAAATAAAACGGAGCAAAACGGAAGCAGCCCGTTCGTGGTCTAAGCAGGCGGGTCGGGCTGCAGCAGGGGTTGTTCATTGTCTCGAAGCTCCCGGTGCCTGCGGAGAAAACCCAGCCCGGGAAGCAGCCACCAATAAAAGGACTCCATTCTGCCACTCAGGGCTTTGTGAGGCGCCAAAGCTTGTCCTGGTTGCCATGACTACTGTCTGATTGTGGCGGGTTTGTCACAGTGCTTGATAAAGTGGGAAGGTTATTCTTGATAGGCCCAAGTAATCATAACCTCCCAAAGCTTGAGTATGGACTTAAAATTGTTTTTCCTCCTCTCTCTAAACTGGGAATATGGGGATGGGGGCAGGGGCTCTCAGGATAAAGCAACCCCAGGGCTCCTTGAGCAGGTGGTGAGCGTGGCACCCAGCAGGAGGAATACTGGCTGTGCTGGTCTGGAAGGGAGGCATGCATGTGCCCAGAGACCAGGCAGAAAGGATGGTCACAACTGCTGGGCCATCTCTGGCCTGATAGGGGCTTCAGGGAAGGGACCAGAATGGTATTCTCTCCTGGCCCCTCCTGTAAATGGATTATCCCTATACCTCTCTCTCCTCTGCTCCCTTCCCCCTTCCCCCTTCCCCCTTTCCCCTTC